GAGCTGCCACGGCTCCTGTGACGATGAGTCGGCGCGATGAGCCACACGCCGCCGTTGATGATCAAAGCACGCTCGCGAGGGACACGTACCTTGCCAGTACAGCAGTAGTCGAGTCCGAGTGCTGTCTTGAGCGTCTTTTCGCTGACCGCGTTTGGCCTGTCGATCTTGTTGCCCAACACGAGGACGGGCATGTCCCACTTGATCAACTCCTGCTCAGTAGGTTACCACACATTGGGGTGAGAGACCGGACCGAACTGAGGGCATAGAACTGAGTTGGAAAGATGAGACGTACGTCAAGGTCTCGCTTGGCCTCGGCGAATCGCTCGGGGTCGCAGGCGTCGACCAGGAAGATTAGGCCGTGCCCGTGGTGGGCGTATTCCTGCATCGTTCTGCACCTCGCACGCTGCCTTCGCCACATTATGGCGGGATCCACCATCTCGAAGCGCTGGTCACCGATCGTCACCTCCTCAACTTCCGGGTGTAAGGTCGGCGGAAACAGCGCCAGTCGGTCAGACTTTACAACGTACATCAACGTCGTCTTGCCTGCGCGGTGTCGAGGCCACGCACACGCATCACCGCACAAACGACAAACAAACAAGCGCGCGCACTCACGCACGCACGCACACGCACACGCACACGCACGCACACACCACCGCACACAGAGAGAAGTTAGCCTCGCCGTGTAGCGGAGCATGGGCGTATATAGGCGTACCGACGTTGTCTAGCCCGGCGAGGATCCAACGACGTCGAAGACACGGGGCGAGGCCCAGTCCGACCGCGGTGCGCTTGAGCGCCTTCCAAAGCCGGGGCGATGCGTCGCCGGCTCGTCGTCTCGGCGACGTAAAGCAGCCGCCCGCGGCGGCCTTGGCCTCGATGGCGACGAGCGTGCGCCATGCGATAACGCCCGGCTTCCTGGCCAGTCGTGTCACGTGCTTGACCTCCGCACGAATGTGTGCCGGGAAGTGGTGCGCGCCACGCCACTGCAGCAACGACGCCACCGCCAAGCCCGATGGGCTGCTGTCGGTGGCAGCCATGAACAGTGGTGAATCAGGGAACTGGCGGTGCATGAGCTTCCCCCACAAGCCGTCGTCGTTGGCAACTGAACAAATAACGCAGAGATATTTATTTAGAATTAAATATTGATAATAATTGAACATAGTTAGTGGGCAAGGGGGTACCTTGAGACCAACGGGAGCAGACTGCGCTGGCGGCTGCTAGATCCTGGCCTCGGTCGAGGAAGGACAAGACCAGCAGCAGAATCTCATCGGGCAGGGTGGCAGCCACCCCCTCGTGGGGAACGTGTAGCGGCTTGTTAGAAGCGGGGGCTGGCCGGCACCAGAACCGCCAGGCCAGCAGGGCCACTGCCAGCGCCACAACACTGGTCGTGGCGCTCAGCCAGGCTGAGTTGTAAACGTCTTCCATCACCGGTGTGCAAGGTAGGGTATGTGGCAAGAAGGTTCTATTTTCCTTTTCTTCTCCTCCTCGATGACGTGGCCTGGTGCGGACGTGGTGGGCGTGACCGTTCGGTCACAACACCAAGCGCTGATCAGATTAATTGGGGCAGCACTGGCCGTTGCAGCAGTGGTAGCCCTGCAGGCAGCAGCTGTTGGTCGGCAGCACTGGCCGTTGTTCGCCAGGCAGCAGCTGCCATTGCAGCTCGGGGCATAGCAGGCCGTTGGAGCACTGGATGGCCCCGTGGGCGCCGTGTGGACAAGGAGGCACGAGATGCCGCTGTAGCCATCGCCCGCGACGATTGCGGGGCTTGACACGGTGAAGCCTGGGGAGCCGGCTGAGGGACCCACTTGGGTGTCTGTCACGGCCGTGTCGACACCTCTGTTGTAGTGTTGTAGGCTGGCGCCACTGGCAGTAAGAACTGGCTGTTGGTGCTCAGCTGCACGTAGGAACTCTGAGGAATGTCGGATGGTCCTGCAGCGCCCCACAGAGCGGTCTGGATCATGTAGGGCGTGAAAACAAGCGTGAACTGGCCCGGCCGAAAGCCACCACTCGCTCGGCTTGCGTGAAGGTGTCATCAAGGAAAAAAGCAAAGTTGACGCCGAATGCAGCTGGTGCACAGGGCACGCCCGCTCTGGAAGGCTTCAGCCAGCTGTGTAAGGAGCGGGGGGTGTCTGCATTCTTAACGTTCCAGAGAGGCTTCGGGACCTAAAATGCTGTGGTCCGAATGCAGACCGGATTGTTTTCTAGCACGTCGCTTTTCAGGTTGGAGCAGTAGTTCACACAAGCTGTTCCACCACCTTCTGGGGGATCGTATGCCTTGGCATCGGTCTCTCTTCCTTGTACTCCCTCCCGATCCCTTTTCTCTTTTCATCGACTGATCACAGACCTGCCGCGGGCGCCAAAAGCCTCCCCTGGAAATGGCGTTGGTCAGGGCTTCGATTCCTATTTCCAGGTTTGCTTTCACCACCTTCTTCTTCACAGCAGCGCTACCCCTTCACCAACATCAGGCTTGCAAACCCTATTTTTGGTAAGTTTAAAGCTGTTTTTTTGGTAAGTAACAGGCACGTTTGGCATTCCAAACGCAATGGAGAGTACCAGCGCACACATGAGTGATTAGAGAACGGTTTGGTTGAGGAGGAGGCCATGGAGAAGGCCTGAGGTGGTGCCGGAGAGGAGCCACCCCGAGGCTGGCAGGTTGGGATTCCAGTTGACGCGCTGCACGGCCACACGGGGGTCGGGAAACTCGCGCACTGCTACGCCCACTTCGCCCTCAGCTGGTTCCACAGCTTCCGCCTTCTTCGCGGTGGCGTCCTCGGGCGGCAGTGAGCGCAACGTGATCACCTCCAGCGCGCTGGGCGCCGACTCCTGCGCGGACGGTTGGGACGATCGTCAGCGGGCTGAGCCCAGAGGGCGGTGTGGGATGGGCGCGAGAGCGTACCGGGCCGTGGCTCAAGGTGGTCAGCGACACCTGTAGGGCCACGATTTCCTTGGGCCGATAGAGACTCTGATGTGTGCATGGGGAGGTGGGAGGGAGGGCACGATTAGCGGAAGATGACGATTGACCGCGTGTGGAGTACGGGACATCAGTTGTTACCTTGGTGGACGCCATAATCTTCGGCGAAAGTGGGAGGACTTTGACGGTGCCATCAGCTGACGCTGAAGCCAACTGGTTCAACCAGTACGAGCCGTCGACATACTGTATGTCGATGTATGATATGAGTGTTTTTTGTTCAATTGGACAGAAATGTAAAAGGTGAGTAGAAACAAACATACCCACACCATCGCGTCGTGGTAGCGGAAGATCTTGGAGGTGAGGTCGTGCGGCGCGAAATGTCGGATCGTGTGGTCGTCGGAGGAGAACACAATGTTGGGGTAGTCACCCCCGAGCCACTTTACATCCACAATCCAGCCTGCGTGCGCGCATAGAGAGGGTGAGCGATGATGCAAACAGGCATCTCATACTTCTTTAGGGCCTAGTCCTAGCGGCAAGAGTACCTCCACCGGCCATGTGCGAGTAGAGAGGCGCAAAAGGGTCATGCGTGTCCCAAAACTTAAGATAGCCGCCCTGGCCGCACGAGAGGAACACGCTGGGATTGCTCGAGTCCCAAACTACGCCCTGCACCGCTCGCTTGTAGGCCCGGCTGCACATTACCGGTCGCGCCTCCGAGCCCTCCCCGCCAACCTGCCACACGGCAATGTGCCCTGCGAAGTTGATGCGACTTTGGTGAATTACAACGCCTCATGATTGCACGTGTGTGTGTGTGTGTGTTGGTGCCATACCATCGGAATAGCCGGTGAGCAGGAACTGGTGTTGGCCGTGCGGAGACCAATTGACGGAAGTGACATTGCTCGCGTTGAGCTTGTAATCGGCCACGGGCGTGAGCCGGACGAAGACGGGCGCCGCGCCCTGCGCAAGGCTGGCCGGGTGGGGCACGGAGAAGATCTTGACCGAGCCGTCGGCGAAGGCGGCCGCCAGCAGACCCAGCCGAGGCAGCTGGCCGTCGTGTGGCGTGTGCCCCTCTGCGGCTTCACCCTCGCCGTCCACCACCATCGTGGCCGGCTGAGGCAGAACGCCCTCGGGCATATCCCACGTGGAAGCGCGCGAGGGACACCACTTGAGGTCCCACACGGCGGCGCCCTCGTGGAGAATGCCCATCGCCATCACCGGCCGCTGCGTCAGCGACTCCTCTCCATCGGCGCTCTCGCTCGCTGGCCAGCCCGAGTCCTGCAAGATGCCCATGCTCCATATCTGGATCATGCCCTTGCCAACGTATCTGTGCGTTACAAGATGAGTGCCGATCACACACACACACACAGCAGGCCGTGGTGATGTGGTGAGTAGCCGGTGGAACGCACCGCTTGCCGAGAATGTGTGTTTCGGAGGGCGAGGCATGGGCTGAGACGGCGGCGAATTGGGAGTGCGGGTGGACAGCCGAGCGGGTCGGGCACCAGTCGAGCGCCCAGATGGGGCCGCCGGTGTTCATCACGGTCTCGGCCCACTGCCGTCGGCCCTGGTCGCTCGTCCTTCGCTGCGCGATGGAGCCAAACAGGCCCAAGGTGTGGTACTGGATATCGCTCGTGCCCTCTTCATCAGTCGCCTCCAGTCCAAACGTCACCTCCGAGCACAGCGGAAGGTACTCAGTCGGGTCGCTGAGTGTCCAGCGAAGAACGTGAGATGAGTGACACGAGGCCAAGCAGCGGACGAGGACGCAACGCACCTGACATACTGGACCTGTGAATGCTGCGGCATCCAGTGCGGATACAAGACCTCGGTGTTGAGTGGCGCCTGCAACGCTTCCACCCTCTTCCTCATCCTGTAACATGGCGATTAGAGTTATGCCCAATCGCAATATATTGCACACACACACACACACACCAACACACGCGCGCGCCACAATGAGAGAGGCATACTCGGCGTTTCGATGTTCCTCGGGCGACACACGATGCCGTGAGGTGCGTCCACCCCGCCCGCGCGCTCTCGTTCCTCGTCCCCGCGCCCGCGGCGACGCGCTCGTCTTTGCTCGCTTGGTTCCCTTCTTCGGGGTAGTCGTGGTGGTGCTCTTTCGTTTTCGCTTCTTGTCGGCCGTGTCGTACTCGTCTGCCTCTTCATCGTTGTCAACGGCGTCCTCCTCGCTCGCTTCATTGTACTCTTCCACCGCGTCTTCTTCCTCTTCACCTTCATCTTCATCACCCGCATAGTCCTCGTCGTACTGCTTCTTCCTCTTCTTCGTGCTGGTCTTCTTCGTCGTGCCACCACGCCGCTTGGGCGTCGCCTCTTCCTCGGACTCGCTGTGCTCTTTATGTGAGCCTGCCTCTTCTTCATCATCATCATCGCTCGGCGCCTTCTTGCCCCTGCCCCGGCCTCGCCCACGCCCGGCCGCGGTCTTGGTCGCCGGGCTCTTGCCCCGGCCTCGGCCTCGTCCCCTCCCCCGCCCTCGTGTGGTGGGGGTCGATGGTGGCGTCGACGCCTCCTCTTCGCCTGCCGCCTCTTCTTCGGTCGGTGTAGATGTTGGTGTAGATGATGTCGCGACGGCTCTGGTTCTCGAACGCGTGACCCTCCCGCTGGGCGTTGTGGGCGTCGTGGTGACAGACGCAGGTTCAATACCCGCCTGGGCGGTGGCGTTGGCTTCACTGGAGTCAAGAGCGTCGGCAAACTTTGCTGCGTCATCTTCAGACACACCGCCAGCAGTCGATGATCCAGCATCGCCAGATTTGGCGGTGAAGAACCCGCGAATGGAAAGTTGTTGGGGTGCCGAGACACCATTGCTGGTGTCTTCTGCACTCGATTCGGGTGCTTGACCTCTGCCTCTGCGTCGCCCCCGCCCTCGGCCACGCCCTCGTGATGGTGTGGCCGGCGTGCCACCGGCACCGTCTTCATTCGCTTTCTGTTTCTTGGGTGGCCGCCCCCTCCTTTTGGGTGTTGTGGGTGCCTCTTCGGCTACATCGGGAGCATGATCATCTCCATTCAGTTCGGCGATGGCAGGGGGAGGAGGAAGCTCCTGCTGATTCTGTTCCATCTGCACGAGGTCGCCACGAATGTCACTTCTAATCGCTTCCAGCCGTGGCCGATCTATCTCTATTCTGTCCGATTTGTTCGATCCCCTGTAGCTTGATCGACGAAGGCCAAACGCGGAGAGGGGACTCGAACTGCCGTACCCACCCAACGGCCACCTGGCTTTTCTCTTGCTTTTCTTTTTGCTTTTGGATCGGAGAAAAGAAGTGGAAGAGAACAGCATCTCTCCAACTGCACAGAAGGCGGCAGCGATTGAGGGCAGCAAAGATGGAGGCTGATCATATTGATGAGATTGACGACGTAGAGGAAGAGGAAGAGGAGGTGGAAGATGGAGCGGAGCAGGATGAGACCTATCCCGACAAGATTTACTTCGGCGGTGAGCGGCAAGTGATCGACATGGCTTTCCACCCCTCCGATGACGTACTCGGTGCAGGCATCATCGATGGCAGCATTGAAATGTACACCATCGCCGCCGCTAATTTCATGCCGTTCACGAATTAATTTCTGTAATCTCCAGCTTCCGCTACGTGCCCAATGAGGCCCCGACGAAGCTGCTACAGGTCAAGAACCACAAGAAGTCGTGCCGTTGCATCAGATTCTCACACGATGGCCAGTGTACGCTCTCCATCCACCTGGCCTTTACGTGCGCGAGTGCTCACACTTCTTTTGTTGTCCGCTTTGCGCAGATGCTTTCTCTGGCGGTGCCGATCGTTCACTCGTTGCATACGACCTGAACGCACAGAAGGTCATCTTCCAAAAGCAGGGCGCACACAAGTACCTCCTCCTCTTTCCTCAACCTGCTGTGTTGTGCATTGGCGATGGCAAGAAGACCACTTTCTCACACTCGAGCAACAAAAACATCTCTGCAGCCACGCGCTGACGTGCATGGCCGTGCACGAGCACCTGGTGGCGACCGGAGATGAGGAGGGAGGCGTCAAGCTGTGGGATCTCCGACAGACCAAGCAGCTCTTCTCCTGGCAGGAGAACGACGACTTCATCAGCGAGCTCGCCATCGTGCCCAACAAGAACATGATCCTCGCCCCGAGGTATCCCGCCACTCGTGCTCGTCAATCGGCGCGTGGGCGTCTTTAGTGACCGCGATCTGTTATTTCTGCTGGCAGTGGCGATGGAACGCTCTCGGTTTTCCACATGCGCAAGGCGGGCCTCGAGTCTCAGTCAGACAACATGGAGGACGAGCTCTTGTCCGTGGCTGTGCTCAAGGTTTGAGGCTCTGCTGCGCTTCTTATCCTCAATGCTGCTACTCACTGATCGGTCATCGACGACGTCGGTCGTATACACGTACGTGGTGCAGAACGGAAGCAAGGTGGTGTGCGGGTCGCAGGACGGCGTCCTGGACATCTGGTCGTGGGGCCAGTGGGGCGACATCAGCGATCGCTTCCCGGGCCACCCGCAATCGATCGACGCCATCATCGCCATCGATGACGATACCATCCTCACCGGCTCTTCCGACGGTCTCATCCGGTTTGTTCCTCCCCCTCGCCACGCCTCATGAGGATGCAACGACTTGGTGACGTTCCTGACCGCGAGTGTCGTGTGTGTGTGTTGTGTGCTGCGCGCAGTGTGGTGGGCATTCACCCCAACAAGATGCTGGGCATCGTGGGCGAACACGGCGAGCTGCCAATCGAGTGCATGGCGCTGTCGCACGACAGCCGGTTCCTCACGACCAGCTCGCACGACTACTGCATTAAGTTCTGGAACGTGTCGTACCTCTTTGAGGATGACGATGACGAGGAGGAAGAGGACGCGGAGGAGGGTGGAGAAGGCGAGATGGAAGAGGAGGACGAAATGGAAACGGAGACCAAGGCCAGCGCCAGCAAGAAGAAGGGCAAGAAGGGCAGCAAGAAGAGCTTCTTCTCCGGCCTCAAGTAAGCTCTGTACACACCATCCAACCACATCAACAAAAATAGAAGCGCTCCCACCCAACACTCTAGCCTAGCGCGAGCTCGTAGAATGTAGTAAGTTGTTGATGATGAAGAGAAACAATGAAGGTGGAAGGAGAAGTAGCGAAGAAGAAGAAGAGAGAGACTTAGGAGAGAATCGATTCCTTGAGGTCGTCGCTCGCTCGCGGAGGCAGGACAGCCGACGCGGGCACGGTGGGACCGAACACGGTCGAGAGGCCGGTGGTGGCGTCGGGCGCGGCCTGCTCGTAGCCCAGCTTGACGTTGCTGATCCGGAGGACGGTGATGTCCTGGCGATGACCGCGCGTCCTGCGGTGGTTCTTCCTACGCTTGAACTTGAAGACGACGACCTTGGCCGCGCGCGTCTGCTCTTCGACGACGGCTTCGACGACGGCCTCGGTGAGCAGCGGCTGGCCGATGGCCGTGAAGTTCTGGCTGCCCACCATGAGCACCTTCTTCAAGTGAATCGTCTCGCCGACGTCGACCAGGAGCCTTTCCGTGATGATGGTGTCGCCTGTACATCAAATGTTGATTGTAACGATGAGATTTCCGATAAGAGTTGATAAATTCTTGTGTTTGAGCAAAGAGGTTGCTGATTGCTGAGAGGGGGGATTAATACCCTTGCTGACTTTGTACTGCCTGCCGCCGACGTAGACAACGGCGAAGCTCTCCGGGACAATGTAGGAGGGAGTGGGGGCGGGCACCTCCGCGCTCTGCGAAGCCGACTCTTGGCTGACGGGACCGCTCGAGTGGAGCTGCCGTTTGCTGAAGATGGAGAGGGGGCGGGAGGCAAATTGCGTCGATGAGGTGAAATGCGCAGCGCTCATCGTTCGCAGCAGGCTGCTTCCGGCGGTGGCATTCCTGGTCTGCAGGGCGAAGGGAAGCAGAGGAAGAGTCGGCCGCGGCACTCCCGACGCCCCCGCAACGGATCGCAAGCTCTTCATCTTTGCTCTGATTGATTTCGATCAGCCTTTTAAATTATTTTTTATTTCTTTCGCCAACAAAGAAAATGGCCTGAATAATAATAATAAATAAAATAGTAGGTATTAGTTCTTCTGCGAAGTACCTTGAACAGCGCCTACGTGTTGGCCCACGTCGTGGCTGCGGCCCACTTCAAGCCAAACGTACCGAGAGGGAGCGACTTGTGCGTGATGGAGGTGGAAACGACGAGTAACTCGCTCGGAGGAGGGGGTGAGGACGCGGAGCTGGCAGTGAAAGCTGCCGTTGAACTGGCTGCTGAGGTCGTCACTGGCGGTGTTGAAGTGGCGGTGATGGAGGACGACGCGTCTGCGGAGGGGGCGCCGGCCACGGTGGCAACCACCACGCCGGCAGTCCGCGTGCGTCGGCCCATCCCGGCTTGGCCTCTCGTCTACTACCGCGTACAGCCCGACAACTCGGCGGCCGAGGGCGACGTGCTTTGGTACGCACAACAATGCCCCTTGGCTGTTTATACTTATTTTTTTGTATTTATTTATTTACAGATATTATTCGAATTGATTATTTTTTTAATTTGCGTTGTGGCTGTGGTGCACCACAGGCCCATCTTCCGGTACGAGCGGCGGGGCGATGACGAGTCCTACCGGGTGCGGCCCTTCATCTACTCCGGGCACACGCACCTGGGCAGCGGCGACCGGGAGACCGACGTGCTGTGGCCCCTCTTCCACGCCTCGCACACGCACGGTTCGTTCTCTTCTCGTCGTGTTCTCTTTCCAACACCTCTGCACAACGTTGATTGATTCGGTCGATCGCTTTGGTGAGTGCAGATGGTGCCGACGGCGGGCACACGGCTCGATTCGACATTCGTCCGTGGCTGTGGAGCCTGGCCCGTCGCTACGGCGCCGCGGGGGACCTGCTGGCCACCGAGGCCTCGGCCCTCTTCTGCCTCGTGCGCTACCGCGCCGACGGCGCGTCGCTCGACTTCGCCATCCACCCGTGGCTCTTGCGCTACCTGCGCGAGATCGAAGAAGAAGACGAAGAAAAAGAACCACAGCAGGAAGAAGACGGGGAGGAGCTACCCTACGAGTGGTTCGAGGATTGCACCGATGACGACTACGAGCAGTACGAGCAGGTGTATCGGCAGCTGGCCGAAGCGGCGGCGGTGCCGGAGAATGACTACTCGATGATGAACACAGTCGACGAGGTCGCCGCTGAAGAAGTGGTCGCTTCTTCGGCAGTTGACGGGGCCGCCGCCGCTGAAGAGATGGTCGCTTCATCGGCGGTCGACGACCGCGACCACGCAACGACTACGGAAGCGCGGAGGCCGATGCTGGTCAGCCTCAAGATACTGGGCGGTCTCGTGGAGTACCTGAAGACCAGCACCCGGCTCCACTTTGCTGTGCGGCCGAAGCTGTTCGGCTACGACCGCGATGCGGCGACCGGCGAGGGGGGCACGCTCGAGGTCTCCGCGCTGGCGGGCCTGGCCAAGTACAGCGTCGGGCCGTGGGGCGAGGGTCGCGCCGGCGTGACTCGGACCAAGACGCGCCTCGCACCCCTCTTCTTCCGCCAATCGGCCACCGGCGGTGACAACGTACCTTTGCTGCGCGCGGGCAAGACCTGCAGCAATGACAGAGCCGAGTGAGCTGACGTGTGTGTGTGTGGTGTGGGTGTGTGTGTGTTGCACCAGGCGCAAGGCCTGCCGGAGTACACGGTGGTCTTCCCGCTCTACTTCCATGTGCGGGGCGAGAACACGTCGCGACTGCACGTGTGGCCGGTGTTCGGCATGCAGACATTCGACGGCGCGCGGGTGGTGGAGTATTCAACGCTTTATCCCTTCTTCCGGCTCACCACCTTCTCGCACGAAAACGAGCCTGACCATCAACAGGTGACACACACACACCACCGCACGCGCACACGAATGCACGTTTTTCTCACGCTTTCATGGTCGAGCAGAGCAAGGAGTTTCGGATCGACCTGTGGCCGCTGGTCCACTATCAGCAAGGTCCGGGGCGCAATCTCTCGCACAAGGTCTTTCCCTTCTACGCCTACGCCGCTGCGGTGGAGCCCAGCAGCCCCGCTGGCCTCGGCCAAGCAGCATACCATACCCAGGGCCACTTCCTCTTCTACTACTGGGACAGCTCCTACGCGCTGCCGGCTGCGCCCGAGCGCTCATCGTCATCTTCTCTCTCCTCCTCCTCCTCCTCGTCATCATCGTCTTCTTCATCGACGCCGTCGCTTGGTTCCGCATCAGAGGAGGAGCCCTTGCTGCCGACGGCTGGCTCTGCTGACGAGGGCACGCTGCAGCCGACGCCTTCGTTCCGGCATTCGTGGGGTCTGTTCCCTGTGTGTCAGCGAACGCTGAGCGACAGCACGGAGAGCCTCTACCTCTTCCCGCTCATCAACAGCGAGTCGTCGTTCCAGTTCTTCGAGGAGGAGGTACTCGAGGAAGTGGAAGAGCTGGTCGAAGTAGACGCCACCGATAGCGAAAGCGAAGACGATAGCGAAAACGAAAGCGACAGTGATAGCGACAGCGACGATGCTAGCGACAGTGAATCGGACGAATCCGAGCACAGCGACGAAGAAACGAGCGCTCGTCCGCGCAAGGGCAAGGGCAAAGGGAAGGCAAAAGAGAGAAGACAAAGAGAGAAGAAGCAAAAGAAAAAGCGAAAGAGGGTGACAACGCGAAAGACTATGGTCCAGCGCACACGCAGGGTCAAGAAGGAGATCAAGTCATCCTTCGTGCCGCTGCTGATGGCCTACTACACCCGGGACGACATGGCCCAGCGCTCGGCCCTCTATTCGCCACTCGTGTGCCGGGCCACCCAAGGCGCCGGCGGCGACGGGTGGCTCCTGCTGCCGCTCTACTACTCGAGGCGCGAGCAGGGCGGCGCGGCGGCCGGCGGCAGCGAGACGCGGGCCGTGCTGCCGGTGTACTACTGGCGGCAGGACAACAACAGCCGCGCGCTGGCCGTGCTCCCCTTCTACGCCGACCGAACCAACTTCATCACCAACAGTCGCTTCCAGATGCGCACTCCTGCCTGGTACCTGATAGCGGCACACGGCGCACACGCGCCTACGACACACCCGCGGCACACATACTTATGCTGTGGTCTTCAGGTTCAAGTACCACAATGGCATGACTGGCGCCGATCACTGGTGGGGCTTCATTCCGTTCCCCTTCTACAAGCTCGACTCGAGTACGTCTTTTTTCTATGTATATATAATATATATATATAGTAATATATGCACATTATTTATTTATGTTGTTGTTTTGGCTGATGTGTTGGTTGCGTGGCACTGGTGGCAGATAATCTCTACGCGTTTATGCTGTTCCCTTTCTACGGCGTCATACGCGATCTGACGAACAACTCGATGCCCGGCACCATTGTGGAGGCGTTCACGCCCTTCTACTACCGCTTCAACCTCTGTCCCAACGATCCCAACCTGGCCGCCCGTTCTCGCCTGAACTTCTTCCTGCCCCTATGCGCGTACCTCCCCCTCCCAATCCCCTCCTCCCCGCGTTTTCGTTCTTTGCACGACGGTGAGGCTCACCCCGCCGTGCCCTCGTCGACAGGGGCTCGTGGGAGAACATCACGGACCGGGGACGCTTCGCGTTTCTCCTTCCTCTGCTGACGTTCGCTTGCTCCCTGTAAGCTGCCTCAACTCCCACCCAACTCTCACATTTGCACGCACTACAAGCGCCGCACACACTACACACACAACACGCACCGCACACGACACGCACGTCTTAGCTAAGCTTGGGCGGTCACAGGCGCAAAAAGCAAGAACTGATGGATATGAACGTCGTCTTGATCCTGCCCCTGCTCAACTGCTGGGTGTCGGTGCATTCGCCGACGGAGAGGATCAAGGTGCTGTTCCCCTTTTACGTCAATTACCGCAACAACACACACCACCGGGTGTTCGTCCTCCCCTGCTTCTACTACTCGCGCGACCTACGCTACAACGAGCGACGCCTCGTGCTCAGCCCCCTCATCGTCGACGACAACCACATGGCCAGGTAAAACAACTGCTGTGTGTGTGTGTGTGTGTGTGTGTGTGTGTGTGTGTGTGTGTGTGTGTGTGTGTGTGTGTGTGTGCGTGTGTGCGTGCGTGCGTGCGTGCGGTACCATGTGTTGCTAACCTGCACGTGTGCGGTGCAGCCGAGGATCGCGAACGCAGTGGGTGTTTCCGCTCTACTTCTACTCCTATCTGGAGTCGGCCGGCCGCACAGTCTTCCTATGCCCGCTGGCGCTCTACTGGGGCAGCCGCGACACGGGCGCGTCGTTCCTCCTCACGCCGCTCCTTATGGACTGCTTCCGCCCCACCCACGGCACCCGGCACCAGTGGCTCCTGCCCGTCTTCTTCCGCCGCCTGTGGGCCGACAACGAGAGGTGCTCCTCCTGCCGGTCTACTACCACCGCCACCTTGTGGACCAGGCCACGGGCGCCGTGCACGACACCACCGCCATCGTACCGTTCTACATGGGCACCACCCACGTCGCGGCCGATGGCACCCTCACCTACGCGCGCCACATGCTCTTCTTCCCGTGTTCCGCCGGGCCTACGCGCCGGTCGAGGGCGCCATCGCCTACGACGTGCTGTGGCCGCTCGCGCACTACTCCCGCACGCCGACATCGCGCAACGTGCGCCTGCTGCCGCTGGCCTGGATCTACGACGACAGCGCCGCGCAGGGGGAGTGGCCGGCAGGTGGCCCGTGCGCGGGTCTTCTTCCCGCTCTTCTACTCGCTCGAGATGGGCGACGGGCGGAAGCTCACCGCATTCTTTCCCTTCTGGCTCAAGCACCAAGGCGCCGACGGAGGTCCGTACCTTCTCACCTTTCGTCTCGCGCGCGCGTGTGTCTGTGTGTGTGTGTCTGTGTGTGTGTGTGCGCGCGCGCGTGTGTGCGTGCTGGTCGTGCCTTGGTAGCAATTGATTGAGCGGTGGCGGTCTCAACAGGGTCTGTCACCGTGGGCACGTTCGGGCTTCTGCCTCCGTACTTCTACCGCCGGGTGGACGAACACAATCAAACCAAAAGCCTTCACGTCTGGTGTGGCCCCTCACGTGTTGTTGGTTGGTGTGGTTGTGGTTGTGGCTGACCTGCGTGATCACGCGATAGGCCACTGCTCGGTTATCATCGCGATGGCAACAGATGGGGCTGCCGGCTGCTGTGGCCGCTCTTCACCTTCGACACGGACGCCGACCGGGGCAGCGTCTACACGCGCTTCCTGCTCTTCCTCCACACGTCGCAGCGATCTCAGCCCATCGCCGGTTCGGCGCAGCTGGCTGGTCGCCGGTCCTTCACCTCCCTGCTGCCCTTGTGGTTCCACCAGTCGAACACGGACGCGGACGTAGGGGTCAGGGACTTCAGCCTATTGGCGCACTACTACCAAGCCACTTCGAAGAAACTGGAGTTGGTACGCGCGCACGAGCTAAGTTTCCTAAAAGCGT